TAGTTACATCTGTAGACATATGTATATATATATATATACATATATTAATTTATTTAAAAATATTTTTTAAATTTATGTTATTGGATTGAGGGAAGAAAAATATATTAGACGTTCACTAATTAAAATAATATTTGTTTGTGATATATTTATGTTACAAATATACATTATATTACATGTATACATACATACATACTTCATACATGACTAAAATTACGCATCAAACATAAAGGTATAAAAAATAATCTATTACATAAATATTAGGTTTGTTCTTTTTTCATACTACAAGGCTAAGTTTGCACTTTTTAGAGCATACTCCATGGATCAATTAAGAGCACGCTCCATTTACCTCACCTCAGAAGTAGTGTTGTTGGATCAAAACAACGCGCTCATGCGTAATAATTGAGAATGTGCTAGATTTCTGCTGTGACAGATTTCCTAATTTAAATAATTAATAAATTAATATTTCGGTTTATAGGCGAACGATTTTTTTAGCAGTTCCTTTTTTTTTGTAAAAATGCATCGAAGCTTAATTTCATCAAAATCGATGAGAAATAAGAACTACGTTCTTGAGTATTAACTTTATCCTCATAATACTTTAGTTACATTTTTCTTATTTATGTAGTTAAATAATTGTCTGAATACTGTATTATCGATATTTTTGTTATAATACAAAAAAAAACTAATGATAATTGATCCTGCAATCAAGAAATTATAAGGGCACATAAATTATAATGTTAATTATAATGTTTAATATAAAAAATATTTTTTATAGGCAAAGAAATGAAAAAGTAACGTTTCCTAATCCTGTTCATTAGTACTTTCTATTTCATTGTCTCTTTCAATAAAATCATGGACAGCTACAATAGGTAAAAGATTTTCTGCTAATAAATTATCATTAATATGATTAATAATTTCAAAGAAAACCGGCAAGAAAATCTTGTATTCTGAGATCCATTTTAATTTTATATTATTTTAATTTTATATCGTGGTTAAATTTATGTGAACTAAATATTTTACAGCGATCTGTTTCAGAATGGATTGAGACGGATTGCACATGTTTGCACACAGGACGCTTGAAACTTGTCCTAATCCGTTCTAATCCATTCGCTGAACGTTGGATGACCTGAATCTCACTGCCTACCGCCATCTTATCTGTAATCTAAGTGCTCTCCAGTGCTAAGGTTTGTTCGCGTCGCAAGCTCCAACATGCTTCTACTCACTCAAGTGCGTTGGAGTGAGTAAGAGCTATAGTGGGAGCATATTGGAATGTATTGCGAACAAATCTATAGATCGTGAGATCTTAGTCGAGGGAAATTGATCAGTCACAAGCAAATATAGGGAGAATATTTGATTAGAATGATCAATTTCTTACAATTGAGATCCTATAACCGTCTACGATTTCTATATATGAGCCTTTTATTTGTTAGCGGTACTATTGATTATTTGTTACATTGACGAATGAGAAATAATTAATTTGCAATAGTAACTAATCGTTTTCTTAACAAATATCACATTTGTTTTCCCTTGATTTGTTCCTATAACAAAACCATTTCTTTTAGTTTCTTGCTCATGAGTGTTCTCATAGATCGGGAATCTCTTGTATATGAATGCAATTTGTTGTTTTCACTTTTGAAATTTTGAAATTTTCATTATTGAGATATTAATACTTTTATGTCTTAAAACAAACAAATAAAATGTAGCATTTTACGCTGCTTATATCTTTTCCTCTTCTTATTTTCTTTATTTTTTCCTACTTCCCCATTTTTCTTTTTTTCCTTTTTTTTAAGTACTTAAAAAGTAGCCTAACTTTTCGGATACTTTTTTCTTATATTTGTATCTATACTTAGGTTTGTAAATTAAAAAAATGTAATTGTAAAAAAATGTATCTATACTTATATCTAAATACATTTTTTATGTAATATCTATACCTATATCTAGATATATATCTAGATATATCTTTCAAACGATATCTATTCCAACTGATTACATATATAAACACTGATTACATATATAAAAAAAATATATATATACTACATATAAAAATATATATATAATATATATTTATAAAAAATATACATATATATTTATACATTTATACTACATATGAAATATATATACTATATATGAAAAATATATATAACAATATATTTATAAAAAATAAAAATATATGTGCAACAGTTTTCGTGCAATCACGAGACTTTTTTTTTTGCCCGTCCGCCTTTGTCTTCCTTTGCCAACTCATTACTCCACACTTGGCATAATTCTAAGTCGATAGCCCTGGCACAGAGAGTATGATTTATTCCTTGTTTAACACTCGGTGAACAACAAGGTGAACAACAATAAATTAATACTTCTGGACTACGTTCAGGAACCACATCCAAATAACTCTAAGCTGCAGGGCCGTCAGAATATTTTCGACACAACTTTCGGAACACAACCTATATCTGGGGATCTGTATTTTCAAACAAGGTGAAAATTACAAAAGCGAGCAAATTTACTAAGTGTTGACCAATGAAATAACCAGTATTCTAATAAATTCGCTCACTTTTATAATTTTCACCTCATTTCAAGACACAGATTCGATCCCCTGATTTTGAGCGTCAACGCGTCAACTGCCTATAAAAAAGCACCTTATTAAGCAACATAGTCTATGGCACAGTATAAGTACATATAGTATGGACACTGAGTGTCGGCACCTTTGATATAGTGGGTTCCAGGTCACATGACTCGCCGAAATGTTGTGGGTTGGAAAAGCGCTTATAAATTTGAGTTTTTATAAAGCTACAGAATGATTTTTCTAAAAAAAAAAGACATAATTCGATCGTGAAAATTGTTTATAGCGAGTATATTTTTAAATCAGAATTATATAATAATGTTAACGAACTCATTATATAAAGATAATATTCACATTAATAGTAATAATAATATTAAGCAGTAAGGGGCTCCGTACAATAAAAAGGATAGGAAATAGAAAACAGAGAATAAGAATTTCAACATATTAGAAATCATGTATTGTGGAATACGCAGTTTCTGATAGGTTGAAATTCTTATTCTCTATTTCCTGTTCCTTTTACGGAGTCCCTAATAAGTAAATTAAAAATAATACTTGATTAAATACTATATGAAAATTATAATTGAATAATTACATCTAAAAAAATAATATATTGCATGAAAATTGTAATTAAAGTTATAATTTAATAATATATGTACACACACACACACACACACACACATGCATACTTTATTACGAAAACACTTTATCGTATACAAATATAACAGTCTACACAATATTTCTCCGAAAAATTTGATTTAATTTTTTAGTAAAACTTAATTTTATTAACTCTTTGCCCCTTTGCCCTTTTCTCTTACAAAAAAAAATTAAGCTTTGTATGAATGACGTATCACGGCTCTCACTCGTGATATTCATGTTTAGCCCGACTTCCTTATTACAAGTCACACGATATTGTAGGTGAAAGGGTTAATTATATTTTATGGGAAGGATTCAGCGAATCTAACTTAATCTAACCTAATCTAACCTAACCTAACCTGCAATTTCAACTTAATGAAGGCAACCATTCCTGGTTGGAAATCGACGCATGCGCACTAAAAATTGGAGACCACATAAAAAGTTAAGCATTCATACTGTATCTGTATGTACTTATACTGTGTCTATATCAGAATACGAAAGGAATGTATATTCAACGCATAACTGAGTTACAACGTCACAAGTGAGGATTATCTGTGAATCGTGATCGAATGTAAATTGAATGTAAATTGAAAGCAATTGTTCTGTTCCAATTCGTGCACGTTGCTACACTTTGTGCATTTCTGTGTACGTTAAGCAATTGGAAACCATCTAATGTTACCTTAGAAATAAAGATAGCGAGATAATCTCGCCAGATTCTTTTCATTTTTATCACAATGACAATAAACAACTAGAATGAATAGCTTAGGTTTAAATCTAATTTTAAGAATGGGTTGTATATGCACTAAAGAAATCATTACGATAAACTCAAGGAAATATAAAGTTTGTGAACATCTTGGAGATGGGCAAGTATATATTAAACAACTCGCACACGATTATTTGTGGTTAAAATATACTAATCACATGATTTATCGCATACATAATATATGTTTTATAATAGTGTGTACATAAAATTATTTCTAATATTATTATATCTAAACTTAATCAATACAATCTTAACTTATTCAATACAAAAAAAACAAGATTTTCTTTATGCCAACAAACATAATATTTACAGTATCTTGTAACTTCTATAGAAAAATTAATAGTAGAAAATTAATAAAAATATGTGATAATTGGGAGCATAAATAAGGTTTACATTATGTTTTTAGTGGATTTAGCACAGTACTTTTAGTTGAAGATATCGTCACACATAAAAAGTATGCTATTAAGAAAATTATTTGTCATGGACCAGAAGATCAACAATTAGCAACAAAAGAGGTTGAATATTATAAATTGATAAAACATCCAAATGTTATAGAATGTTTAGATTCAACTTGCAAAGGTACTGCAGATCCAATTGTGAATACAACAAGCGAAATATTAATTGTTTTACCATATTATCATGTAAGTAACTATGATTTAAAAAAAATATATTATTTTAAATGTAATACATTTTATAATAGACCAATTTATTGTAATTTTAGAAAGGAACATTAGCTAATGATTTGGAACGACGAGCAAAGAATTGTGATTATATGAATCCTATAGATGTCCTCAACATATTTTTACAGATATGTGAAGGTGTAAAAGCATTTCATGAAGCTAAACCAGAACCTCTTGCTCATAGAGATTTAAAAACTGCAAATATAGTGCTTAATGATGTTGGAGTACCTGTTATTATGGACTTGGGTATATTAAATTTTATTATGGATTTGGTTAGATAGCATGAGTGAAAGCATGTGTGTTTGAAAAGAGAAGAGATGAAACACTTAATATTTTCAGGACAATAAATTAGATAAGATGATTATGAATAAATCAGATTGATAGGAGGATATAGAGGTAGAGAAAGTGTAGGGGAAGTAAGCTATAAAGTAGGAAGATAGAATAGGGGTATTAAAAGAATAAATAATAGAGAAAGATTAAAATTATAATAGAGAAAGATGAAGATAACGAGAAGACATAAGTAAGGCAAGTAAAGAAATTAATTATATCAGAAAAGGACAAGAAGGTAGCACCTTAAAGCCATGACACAAAAAACTTAAGACATAAAACTTAAGAAGTGTATCGATCAATCATGAGCTTTTTACAATACTGTTACCTAAGTTTTAAGTCTTAAGCTGTAAAAAATTGACCAAATCATAATTAAATGTAAGAAAAAATAATCGACTATGATTGATGATCAATTTCTTACGGCTTTAAACTCAAGGAGATACATCTAAGGTGGGTAAAAAAAAATTGATTTTTCAATTTTTGCATTTTTTTATAATATGAAATTCTAAGGTTATTTTTCTAAAGTTACACTCGAAATTTGCAAAAATAAAAAACTTATAACGTTATAAATTATATTAAAAGTTATAATTTAAAAAATAAAAAGTTGTAGCATTATAAATTACTGATATAAATCAAATAGTGTTGAATCAAGGTCCATTATAGATGAATTTGTTCATGAGATAAAGCCTTTTGGAGCCAAATACAAGATATTGGTGTGCAATAAGATTTATTTATTCACTTATCTTAGTCAAATCAATCAAATCAATCATACGTTTCGATTTCTAATTCAGATTTTTTTCAATATCACTTACATAAAATCATTGAACTTCCCGGTGCACTATACAATGATAATTAAAACATCGTTAACTATATAATTATATAATTATATAATTAATGCTACAAAACTTATCTACTATATTAAAAATCATAAGGATAAATATATGATTAAATCTTGATCTTATATGATTTTCATTAAGAGTATAAAATTGATATGTCATCAAGAATCAAAACATATGATTTGACTAATTAAGATGCGAATAAATAAATCTTATTGCACATCAATATCTTGTTTAGCTCTAAAAGGCTTTATCTCATGGAGTGATTCATCTCTAATGAACCTTGATTCAACTTATATTTGATTTATATTAGTAATTTATAATGGTATAATTTTTTATTTTTTAAACTATAGCTTTTTAAACTATAACTTTAATATAATTTATAATGTAATAAGTTTTTTATTTTTGTAAATTTCGAGTGTAACGTTAGGAAAATAATCTTAAGATTTCATATTATAAAAAAATGCGAAAATTGAGAAATTAATTTTATATCAATTTTCTTGTCCTCTCATTCTCCTTATTCTTGTCCTTGTCTTATCTTGATAAAAAATTTTTCATACATGTGTAAATATACATAAATATTCATAAACATGTATAATCATATATGAAATATGTCCATACATGTTTATACTTTCCTCTTTTTTTTGTAAAATTACTTTTTGGTATAATATAATAAAAATAATAATAGTAATGTGAAAACATAAAAAATAATAAAGGCATAATTTTCGCATTGTTCGTTTAAAAAAAAAACAAGTTTGGAAAAATGTAAAAAAGATTGTTCATAAAATATAATTATGCATAATTTTATATATAATTACATGAGTAATTTTTTATATTTCTTTAAACTTGATTTTTTTTTTAAACAAAATAGTGCAAAAACTACCCTCTTAATTATTTTTTATGTGTTCATATTACTATTATTATTTCTGTTGCACTAAAAAGTAATTTTATAAAAGAAAGAGAAATGTATGAATATGTATGAGCATACGAGGATCGTTTGAAAAGTTTTGAGCCTCAACATAAAAATGGCATTACTCGTTAAAATCGTCTAGTTTACTACATTTGTACAACTACAATTGTATATTATTTGCAAGATACTTGTGAAAATTATAGCCAAGTTTTAGACGCTTAGTTATAGTTATTTCAGAGTCATTTGTGCCAGTCGATTTAATGTTAATGTTTTCATTTGATGAAAATCTCCGAGCTTAACTTTGAGCCTAGGAAACAGAAAGTTGTTGGGAATACGATAGGTAGTTAATTCGAACTACAATTTGTAAATTTTTGTTATCGTCAATATTCAATTTTTTCCATTTTTACAAAAACACTGACATCGATTGGCACAAATGATTGACAAACAACAACTGAGTGTCCAAAATAGCTACAATTTTCACAGGTATCTTACAAAACACGTACATCTAGGGACTTCGATTCTTTCTCTCGAAATTTTCACAAACTAAGAAATGATCACTTTTCTACATTAATGCTCACAGTCACAATTAACAACACGACTAAGGCTGTGGTCAAAGTCTCGCTACAAATGTTTTGAAGTATTTGATGGACCAATTAGAAGAAAGAATTTTACAAACTGACCAATTAAAAAACGTTTCAAAACGTTCGCATTGACCCTAAACCTTTACGTCTGCTTACAATTAAATTTGATGTAAAAACGAAATAACCTGAATTTTTGAAAATTTTAAAAAGTAACCGAGGGAAATAATCGAAGCATTGGGTGTGATTGTAATACAAGAGTGATACCAGAATGATTTTGACGAGTAATACTATTTTCATGTTGAGGCTGAAAACTTTTCAATTGACCCTCGTATTTCATATATAATTATACATGTTTATACATATTCATGTATGTATGAATATTTATGATTGGGAGTAGAAATTAGTTCGGTCCGTTTCCCTAAAGATGGCTCCAGCTGTGAATGGTTCATAATGACAGCTGATTTTGGCGGTTTCAGAGAAGTTAAACATCTGCTAATAATATTCAGTTTATATCGCTTTGACTTTCATACAAAAATCTTGATTTTTACTGTTTGAAATGTCGAATTTTGTGTTAACCAAGCAGCATTTGCGGGAAGTTTTGATTTTTTTTAATTGGAAGAAAAGTGCGGCTGAAGCCCATCGAATGCCTTATCGAAGTTTATGGTGACACTGCTCCAACTGATAAATCATGTAGGGAATGGTTACGATGTTTCAAGGATGGAGATTTCAGCGTTGAAGACAAGCCTCGCTCTGGACAGCCAGAAAAATTCGAAGACAAAGAACTAGAGGTATTACTCAAAGAAGGTCAGAGTCAAACGCAAGAGGAGCGTGCAGAATAATTGGGAGTAACTCAACAAGCCGTTTCTGTACGATTGAGAGCCATGGGAACGATTCAAAAACAAGGAAATTGGGTGCCTTATGAACTGAAACTGAGAGACTTTGAAATTTTTTCACTTGCGAATAGCTGATTTAAAGATAACAGAGAAAAGGTTTTTTGCATCGGATTGTGACTGGAGATGAGAAGTGGATATTCTACGACAATCAAGAAGAAAAAATACTACGCTAAGCCCGGTCAATCGTTTGCTATCGACTTCAACATCAACACCACAATCGAACATTCATAGTTCGAAGATCATGCTCTGTATCTGGTGGGACCAAAAGTGTCTTGTTTACTATGAGTTGCTGAAATCTGATGATTCCATTACGGGCGATCGGTATCAGCTACAATTGATTCGTTTGTGCCATGCATTGCGAGAAAAACGGAATACAAGCAAAGACGTGATAAAGTTATTCTTCTTCATGACAATGCTCGGCCTCATGTCGCTAAAGTCGTAAAACGATATTTGGAAACGCTCAACTGGGATGTTTTACCGCACCCGCTGTATTTTCCGAACATTGCTCCTGATTACTGGTTGTTTCGAAGGATGCAGCATGATTTGGCAAGTCACTGGTTCACTTCTTTCGCAGAAATCGAAAATTAGCTTCAAAATTGGATCTCCTCCAAAGACGAGTCATTTTTTCAAGAAGGAATTCGAAAATTGCCTGAGAGATGGGAAAAAGTAATAGGCAGCGATGGACAATACTTTATTGATCTGTTCATTCATTTTATTTTGAAATAAATGCATTTTTGAACACAAAAAAACGGACCGAACTCATTTGTAGTCCCAATATATTTATACATATTTATACATATTTATGCATGAAAAATTTTTTATCGGGATATGTGACTGGTTATTCGATTGTGTGCGTGCGTGCGTGCGTGCGTACGTGCGTCTCTCAGAGAATGGAAAGTTACTTTTTAAAAGTTACAGTTATTCGTTATGAGTAGGAAAAGAAACAAGTTACTTTTACCATTCCTAGTTACCGATTTTTAAAAGTGACTCGTTACAGTTATTGTTGCTTGAGAAAGTAACTGTTTGTTACTTTTTTTTAAATCGACAACTGCCAATCACAGCGGACAGGCCTAGGGGCTTCTCTAATCTCAAGTGCTATGTGTACTGTAAAAAATTATTGTATAAAATTACAACCATTATACTGGATAATTTTGAGATTCACCATAAGTTGTAAACATCCACACGTTTGTAAATTTGCAATATGCAAATAAAAATAATTTTTTGGTTTGTAACTAAGCAGATTGTAGAAGCACAATATGTACGTGTAGTTACAGGAATATATAATATACAATACATTTCGCACTATATATTATTATACATTTAACAGCAATATGTGACAAATTTTTATTATTTTACATAATATTACTAAAATTTGGATAATTACAGAAAATATTCAAAATATTCTATTATTTACATAATTTTCAATATAAAATAAGATATATTTACACAATAAAAGCAAATTTACATTTTTATGGAATTACATAATTTCTGTAAAATTGCATGATTTTTTTATATTTATAAGAGTAATCGTGTAATCTATTTTACATCTATTATATGTGAAAATTTACAAAATTTGTTTACAGTGTAAGTGGCTTGTGTCGTATCATGTCCAATCATGTGCAAAGTAACGATAAAAATAACGAAATTTATTAAAATAAAATTAAAATTTATTAAAATAAAGAAATTTATTACTGTTACTAAAAAAATGTACGTTGTTACCGTTATCAAAGAAAAAAAGTAACGCAGTTACCAGTAATGTTACCAAAAAAGTAATTTATAACTGTAACTTAATTACAAGTAACGAGTTGTTTCCATTCTCTGGTATCTATTACACATAAAAGAAAGCATCAAATTACCTTAAGGAGATATAGCGGCACTCAAATTCTGTGATTTCAAAGCGCTATATCTTTTTATCTGTCGATTTGTGAATATGATAATGGAGACATTTGTTCAGAATTACAACAGAAGTACAACATATCTCAAAACGGATCAATTTGATCGGGATTATTTTTTCATATGAAACGTGCTGAATCCTTTATTTAGACTGGCGTCCTATGAGAAAATTTACAGCGGAACGGAATAGCACGACCAATTATAACTCCGCAATCATTACTCTATTTTCTTTTTTCGGTTGTGATTGGTCTTGCTGTTTCGTTCCGCTGTAAATTTCCTCTCATGGGACGTCAGTCTAGGATATGTACATTAGCCTAATATTTCATGTATCGTACGACAAAAATTTCAAGTTTGTTAATTGACTGCAGGATAGAAAGATTCGAGAACCTCTCTATTTTATTACAGCCAATTAATAAGCTTAAAAAGCCTTGTCTTAATCTATGACATGAAATATCAGTCGAAAAATGCGAAATGGAGCAGGAACACATTGCAATATGGGTAAAGTAGGAAAACAAGACAGGATATAAGCAGAAGAAGCTAATTTGAAAATAAAAAGTAGAAAGTTAATGATGAATAGGAATGATAAATATATAGTATTTAGATAACGTTCCTTTGATTAATTATGGCAATGGAAATAGGAAGAGGAAGAAGAGTTGGATACAAAATAAGACGAGGAAACATGGGTTGACATGTCAGACAAAAATGAACCAGAAAAAGAGGGAGAAGAAGACAAAAATTTTACAAAAAAGAAAGATGTATAAAAAAAAACGGAGGAATTGCAAAGATTGACAAAAGTTTAAATAACTATAGGGAGCAATGGATTGAAAGGAAAAAGAAAATGAAAAAAAAGTATACGTAAGAAATGATAGAATCAATGATGAATTAAGAAGAAAAGAGAAATATAAATTTATATAAGATGAAGAAATAAATTATGAAGGAGAAAAAAAGGAAGAAAGAGATATCAAGAAGAAAAAGAAGCATGATAAGAAGATGAAAAGAAATAGTACGAGGAAGAGAAAGTTTGGAAATATACTGTTTAAAAAAATTAAGAGATCATTTTTCCTCAATAAATTCTTGCCCATTTTTAAATTGTGTGTAAATTGTTCTCAAAAAATAATTAACGTAAAAAAAGAGATTAAAAGAGGATTTTATAGGATAAACTCTCTATTATATAGTATCTTTGTACAATTTTTCAGTTTAATATTCAAAGATATGACTAGTTTTGAATAGGATCGCATTTCAGATATCTAAAATCTTGAATTTCCAGTCTTCCGGCTAACAAAGAAATGAATGAACATAATCATTGATACCATCAAGTACAAAGTATGGATTTTGCATTTTTAAATAAAAAAGACTTTATTCTATGCCGATTATTTAGTGAGATATTAAGTGAAGATGGGAAAAAGTTCATGGCGTTTTTTTAATGCCATCTAACAGGAAAAACGCCACGAACTTTTTCCCTAATATGATCATTTAAAGTGACCTGTAATTTTTTTATGATTTCAACACGATACCGTCGACATTTGTATATGTAGTCCAGTAGAATTAGACTGAAAAATTGCCATTTTGGTAAAGAACCAGCATTTCTCTGCACGAAAGTATTCGGAAGGCTATCAGAAAAGAAATGCATAAGACTTGAGACATTTAAGACTTGAGCCTTGTGTAGGAAATATGCGAAAAAATCGAATAGTTATAAAAAACACGTTTTTCTCTAAAATGTTTCTTATAAAACGAAAGATATTGATTAGACAAAAGTTGTATGGACAAAAATTCAGCATGAAAAATGTAGGTATTTGAAATACCTATAAAATGAGACATGGAACATTAAGATCGGTATTAGTTAAGTAGAAAGAAATAAAAATCATCGAAAAAGGCCTTTTTTTCCTTCACTCTCTGTTTATCGCGATTTAAACGCAAAGTTTTGAAATTCTCGTAAAATGTAATCCTCATTGATGAAAAAAATCTAGCCCTGAATGAACCTGAAATGTTCATTAGTTTTTGCAAAAAGCTATTTTTTTACTAAAAATTTGTCCGCGAAAAACTTAATTTCTTCATCTTTGAGCAGTCGCACATCAATTTATAGGAGTGATTTTTCTTCTTCAAGAGATATATTATCTCATGTACTTAATAACAAAATGATTTTTTGCAGTTAAACTATTTTGAAATGACTTTGAAAAGTGGATATCTTTTTTTCATATAAAAAATGAAATAATTACGTTAATATCAATTACATCATATCAAATAGTTGTGTGACATATTTGACAGCTGATATTTTTCTACGAATTAAAAAAAAAGATTTTCCTTCGATTATTAGGAGCCGAGATAATAATTTTTTTTTTAAATCACTAATTTTTAAGATTAAAAATTTTGTCTGGCACCAATTTGTCAAGGAAGACTTGAATTTGCTGTTAAAAAATTTTCGAATTTTTTGCTGCCCGAAAAGTTTGTTTAAAACCATTGGAAAGTTGAGGAATGCGAGTGAGACAGCGCGCCGGAATGGGGGAAGCTAATAAGTGGAGAAGACCAGACCGCTCGGCGACTCGCGCGTATCTGATTTCGTGCGTTAAAATTTGCTGAACTTACATTTTCTCAGCAATAAATTTACATAGAAACATGATTTTTCTTTAATCTAGGATAGTTCGATGAGATATAAACAAATAGTTTAAACAAATGTTTCGCAAACTAATTGTAATCATGAAGTTTTTCTTGAATTTTATTTTTTTGGTTTATTACTAAAAAAAAATCACGTTTGAGTATGGATGTCTAATTAACAAATTTAAGTTAGCTGTGTTTCTTTATTTAATATGCTGTAAAAAGTATCCAATTGAACAATTAAGTGTATGAAATTATCAGTGCAAAATTGTTTTTAAACTTTTGAATTTTGATTGCAGATGCAAATATGACATATGTATTATAACAAATAATTAATAAATAATTTGCCAAATATTAGCGTAAATGTTGAAGACAGCTGTAAAATATACTTTTCGTATAACATTAACTTTCGCAAATATAAAAGTAACTTAGAATTATATGAAAAGTATATTTTGCAACTATGCGCACGCACACACGTGATGTGCAAAATCTGACCAAGCAACCTTCCCGTAGTGCACATTGGATTATGAAAATGTTGGTAACTGAAATCATAAAAAGGGATTGCTTTAAATCATCATATCTTACTTAAACGATCGATAGGACAAAGTTTTTTCCATTTAGAATTGCAAAGTCCATACTTCGAGATGGTAACAATAGTTATGTTCATCACAGACAAATTTTTTGTTTGGGAACATAGAGTCATCCTTATGGAAAATATAGAGTTTTCCACACCTATAATTCCTATAGATATTGAATTCCATTCCCAAAATTCGGGATTTAAAAAAAGTATATTAATTTGTAACAAATAAAGAATTTTTAGTGATTTGATAAAAAATAGTATTGACTAGGGTGTATGTAGAGATATATTTCGTACATACAACAAAAGAGATAAAGGCCCGTATTCAGAATGCGCTTACAACGATGTTAGCGCGCTAATATGCTATAATTTACGTTACGCGTACTATAGAATTTCAGAGATAAAAGCATGTTCTGAATACGGGCTAAAATGTTATCTTGAAATTATTTCCATTCCCTTGTTTGGATAAGATTCCACACTCAGAAAAGTCAAAAGTCTCCAGCGAAGAGTGCAAATTTCAAGATTTTAGATATCTTATATAGGTTGTTATTAATATAATAGGTTGTTATTCAAAATTCACTACATCTTTGAATATTAAATTGAATAAAAATTAAACAAAAGCATATAATAGAGTTTGTCTTACCTAAAAATCTTTTCTAATCTTTTTTTTACGTTGTTATTCGCTTAATAATTACATTTTAAGAATGATCAAGTATTTATTGAGAAAAAATGATCTAATTTTTTTTAGCAATATATAAATAAGAAAGTTAAAAAAAGTTTAATACCGAAATAACATCTGCAGAAGAGAATGGAAAAGCCACTTCATGGAGAGGTTAGGAGAATTGGTACCCTGTTTGAGTGACAACAAATATAAAAAAATTGGGGAATGAAGAAGACATAAAGGTAGATGGAGCGATATAAGAAAAACAGTGAAGAAAGACGAATGATTGAAAATGGAAAGTCGTACTGAGATAACGAGTAGAAATTTAGCTGAGATATATGTATAAATAAAAATTAGAACTAGATAGAAATAAAAGGAAAAGGATTATAAAGTTTTTAAAACCAGAAAAGCTAGAATTAAAAGAGATAAGGAAAAGATAAGCAGAAGTATATTGTAGATACCTAAAATAGGAATAACGTGCGCGTGAAAATATTGTATGCACATCGATTGATAGATTGATTAGAGTTAAAAATTAGTTAGCATAAGGTATAGATGAATGTATGAAAATAAGGTAAAAAATAAGAAGTCACTTTCTTAGCTTGTTACACTAAGGTTCTTATATCAAATTTTATTATATTTAGTTAGTATGTATGTGAAATTTATCATTAAATATAAGATAATTCTTTAGGTTCTGTAGCAACTGCTAGAGTTAAAGTATGCAGTACTCAAGCTGCGCGGACTTTACAGGACCTAGCAACTGAGAGATGTTCCATGCCATATAGAGCTCCAGAACTATTTAATGTTGAAAGTTATTGTATGGTTGACGAACGAACAGATATCTGGGTAAGAAGCATTTACGCTTGTCTTAATATAAACGACATATGCTTTGTAATATATACCTTTTTTAGTCATTGGGATGTATACTATACGCATTATGTTATTTTAAATCTCCTTTTGATACTGTTTATGAACGAGGCGACAGTGTAGCTCTTGCTGTGATGAGTGCGCACATAAAGTTTCCAGGAGATACCCCATATAATGAGGTTGTAATCTGTTATATATTATGCTTCTTTTAAGTTTAGCCACTGTTAGTATCTCATTTCTCTCATGCTTCATAGATTTAAATTTCAAAACTTTGTTTTTTTTATCTTGAATATTAATATGTGAATTGATGAATTAAACATAATGAAGCATCTTTTATAAAATGTAAATTTTGAGGATTTCCTTTATCTTTATTTTTAATTACATTATTAAACGTTTAATACATGTTCAGCATCCCATATAGTACTGAATATCACCAGAATGTCGCCAGAACATTATATTTGAAATCTGAATATTCTAATGATCTTAGAAATATTCTGGCAATGTCAGCAGAATGTCTTATGTACGCAATATTCTAGAGACATTCTATAATTTGCTAGAAATGTTCTTTAATATACAGGGTGAAAAGTCCCTGAAAAGGACTGATGAAATATCTCGAAAACTAACCATTTCTATAAAAGAAATGAGAATTGACAATAATTACAAATTAATCTCATTGAATATAGTTTCTCTCTTTACTAACATTCCATTAGACATAGCTATTGATTGTGTGAATGACAATTGGATTTTCATCTAAAAAAAATGTGACTCAAGACAGAGTTCCTGATGGTTCGGTTTATTCTAGATTCAACATATTTTATATTTAACAATACTGTCTCTATAAACAGAATTTCGGCACGCCCATGAATTCTTCGTTGTTATTCATCATTGCAAATTTAGTAATGCAAAAATTAGAGAGAATGTTTTTGTTATTATCGTATTTCTTACAATAATTAGTTTTTTGTTATTATCGTTATGTTGATGATCTCGTTACTACTGTTTCTTCCTCTGAAATCAATTCGTTTTACGAAAATTTTAATTCGTTTCATTTACATCTACAATT